AAGGCTTTCCCCCAAACAATGGCTCGAAGCTATGGGGTTCTGGGAATGATAAGGGCAAGAAGGAGACTGAGGAGGGGAGAAAAATGGAGGCTCAGAGAGAGACCCCTCTTCAGGCCCAAGGCTCAAAGCTATGGCATTCTGGGAATACTGAGAGCAAGAGGGAGACTGAGGAGGGGAGAAAATGGAGGCTGAGAGAGAGAGAGACCCCTCCTCAGGCCCAAGGTCAAAGCTGTGGAATTCTAGGAAGACTAAGGCGTGGGGAATGGAGGGTCAGAGAGACCCCTCCTCAGGCCCAAGGCTCAAAGCTATGGCATTCTGGGAATACTGAGGGAACAGGGAGACTGAGGAGGGGAGAAAATGGAGGCTGAGAGAGAGAGAGAGAGACCCCTCCTCAGCCCCAAGGCTTTCCCCCAAACAATGGCTTGAAGCTATGGGATTCTGGGAATTATAAGGGGAAAGAGACGGAGGGGAGAAAAATGGAGGCTCAGAGAGACCCCTCCTCAGGCCCAAGGCTCAAAGCTATGGAATTCTGGGAATACTGAGAATTCTGGGAATACTGCAGAGGAGCAGGATAGAAATAAATAATGTTGTTGTTGTTATGATGATGATGATGATGATGATGATGAGAGACTAGAGGGGAATGGAGGTGAGAGAGAGACACCTCCTCAGCCCCAGGGCTCCCCCAAACAGTGGGGAATGAATGAAGTGAAATGAAAGATGCTTTAAAATGCTTCTAACCACAAACTCCCCCCTTTTAAAACTGATGTGTTTCGACTTCGGCTGTGTGTTAATGTTGTCCCCTGCCTTGCTCCATTGGGAGAGGTAGATAAGAAATAAATGCTGTTGTTAAATAGTCTGCATTTGTCAGGTTCATTTAAATGTGCTAAAGTACCAAAATACATATTAAATCTATACGAGACCATGACTTGAATCTATTTGAATAATAAGTATAATCCCTTTCATTATTGTGTATTACTCTCCATATGTCTATTAAGTTTAAATTTTCCATCATTTTTGCAGCAAATTGTGACCTTCCAAGGAAACCTTTTCCAATACCAAACATCGCTTTGAGGTGTCTCCAGATGTTGAAGTGAGATCGGCTTCCTTGCCATTCCCACTCCTTGGTCCTACTCCTCCCTACCTGGAGCAAATCTTTTTTAAAAAATAAATATATTTATTCAAGTTTTCGACAATTGATAATCTTTAAATGATCTTGAAAAAATGCATAATTTATGTAAAGTCGTAGGCTTTCATGGCCGGCATCCATAGTTTTTTGTGGGTTTTTCGGGCTGTGTGGCCATGTTCTAGAAGAGTTTCTTTCTGACGTTTCGCCAGCGTCTGTGGCTGGCATCTTCAGAGAATGGCAAAAAGTCAGAAAGAAACTCTTCTGGAACATGGCCACACAGCCCGAAAAACCCACAAAAAACTATAATTTATGTAGTTTGGATGGGTGCTTGACATTCTTGGGAAGGAGGATGGTCTTATACACTACCATTTTATGAATTTGGGGAGGGAGGTACGTACAGTTGGCCCTCCACATTTGCAGATTTGATTATTTGTGGTTTTGATTAAGTGTTCTCTCTAGGAATCTCTAGGTCCTCCAGCGCAACTCTGCCATAGAGTTGTGTTGGAAGTTCCTACAGAAAACACTTCTCTAGGCATTTGTAGGTCCTCCAGCATGGTTCTATGATAAACTTCTGGCAGATGTTGACCATAGAGTTGCCCTGGAGGACCTGGAGATTCCTAGAGAGGTGTCCTCTTAGGCAAAAAGAATAGTGTTGTTTTTTTTATGTGTGGTTTTTCCACATTCATGGGGGTCCTTCACCCCTAACGCCAATGAATGTGGAAAGACCACTGTATTACAAGCTGATGTTGATTTGTTACAGTAACTTTGACCTGTTTAAAATTTGCCTTCCTTCTGTATCGTATTGAACCCCAATTTAGTAAGGTTCCTGTACAACCACACTTCCTATGATCGTAAACAACAACAAAAAAATAAATCAGAGAAAGTGACAGCTTAATTCAGTTTCGAATGGCAGAAAAGGTTTATTTATTACACAGAGGGAAAAGTAATTGTAGTATTTCTTCATTAACTGTATGGCGATCAATAGATAGTAAAATCCTGTAAGTGAATGCCATTTTCATATATTGGAAGGCCACTGGGAGGTTTCTTGTGAGCTCCGTCTATTTTACAATTAACGTGTATACACCAAAAGTGAAATCAATTAAAGCTACCCAGCTGAAAGAGATGAAAATGCTGTGTTAAGATGGATCACCCTGCTGCTTTAAAACAAATTGGGGCTTAAAGTGTGGTTTGATACATATTAAATATGCTTTCCCTTCTGTTCTAAATTCAGCCAACAATAGGGATACCGTGTAGGATACCAGAGATATTATGCTTTCAAATTCTGGGGGTTCTGAGGATCTAATAAAATAAAATAAAATATGCACACTGTTTCCTCCCCTTTCTTCTAACCAAAAAGCCATTGAAAGAGAAATGGTATCAAAGTGAGATGGTATCAAAGTGTGGCATAGTGGTTTGAGTGTTGGACTATGACTATGAGATCAGGGTTTGATGCCTAGTTTGGCTATGAAATCCACTGGGTGACCTTGGGCAAGTCACAGGCTCTCAGCCTCAGGAGGAAGGCAACGGCAAACCTCCTCTGAACAAAACTTGCCAAAACAAATCATAAATAAAAACCATGATATTATGGTCTTATGGTCACCATAGGTTGGAATTGACTTGAAGGCACACAACAACAAATCAAAGTGAAAAGCAGCTGGAAGGAAGGTTGGTTTGTTGAAGCTTTTCTCTCGCATACCATTTCTCTGCTCTAGATCTCCATGCAAGTAACTTTCATCCTCTTTACTGCAGAATTATAGATGCCTGTTTGCAAAGATAAAGTTTATTTGGTACTCTTGTTGGAGAGAGAGAAAGTAAAGGCTAGAGAGGTCAATTTGTAATGAAATAGCAAGGAGTGAGGAAAGGGTTAGGAACTTACCTCCATTTGCCCTCTCCACTAATTTTTTGCTGTTGTGTGCCTTCAAGTCAAGTTGTGTCTGACTTACAGCAACCCTAAAGAAAACCTATCATAGGGTTTTCTTGGCAAGATTTGTACAGAGGAGGGTTGCCATTGCTTTCCTCTGAGGCTGAGAGAGTGTGGATTGCCCAAGGTCATCCACTGGGTTTCTATGGTCAAGCAGCAATTCAAACCCTTGTTTCCAGAGTTGTAGTCCAAAGCTCAAATCACTATTCCATCCCTACTCCTATGCTAAATTATTCACTTCTAAAGTAGCCCCTTTCTTTGTTTCTTAAAGAGTTGCCTTCAACTTTAAAACAAAACAAAACACTTATTGGTATCCAGTTCCTTGCAGGGGTCCACTGAAAGCAAAATTGATGTAATTAAATGGACATTCTAAGTCATTGTGGAACAAGACACATTTGGAGACTTTTTTTATGTTTAAATCAGTCATTGAATTAACCAAGGGTGGGATCTGTTGTGTGGCCTTCCAGATGATGTTGGACTGTAAATCTCAAAACTTGCCAGCAGAGCAGATGGTGGGGAATGATGGGGATTGCTGTCCCCAAATCCCCACCTCTGAATAGAACTGTAATAAAATAAATTTTCATTTTGATATTTCCCCTTCCCATCCCCACATCATCTTCATTAGTCATACTGTCAAGATTTGTTCAGAGAGGGTTTGCCTTTGCCTTTCTTTGAAGCTGAGAGGGTGTGACTTGCCCAAGGTCGCCCAGTGGGTTTCATGGCCAAGTGGGGAATTGAACCCTGGTCTTTAGAGTCACAATCCAACACTCAAACCACTGTGCCATGCTACCTCCTTCCAATAATTTATATGGACTCTATACTAAGGACTCTGCTACGCCACAAAGGTAAATGGAGCTATAGGAGTAGGAAGCCTCAGGCCCTGGGGCTGGGGCTGACCTGCCCAAAATCCCAGTTTTATATTATCCAATGCTCCTGGAGGCCTAAAAATGCAGCAGTTGATCAGGTTCTCAGGTGTTTGCTGTCTCCTCAAACATATAAGGAACCATTGGCTTTGTGGGGCTCTCTACAAGCCTTTTTGCTGTTCTGTGTCTACAAGCCAGGGATTCGAACCTTGGTCTCCCAGTAGCTTAGTCCGAACCACTACTCCACATTGGGTCTCTTCAAAGTTGCCATAGACAGAGAGAGAGAGAAGCTCTCAGATCATATTGCCAGGCCAGTGCACAGCCTAGCAAAATGGCCCTTCTGTCACAGCCCCGATTTGATGTGACGGAGTGACTTGAAAAGCATAAAAGCCATGCTGGGTCAGAATCTAGACCAGGGCACCATGGCAAATCATTTTCTCACTGGAGGCTCAACAGCAGGACAAGCATACAACAGCACCTTTCATCTCATGGTCCCCCAAAAATGATATACAGAGGCATCGCACCCCTGACACGGAAACTCCAATATAACTGTTCTGCTTAGTAGCAGTGGCATCCCTGGAGTTGGAGTCACCCAGTGCAGGGAGGCAATGGGAGAGGCAGAAAGCTATGGTCTCTGGAGCACCTTTTAGGCTCTGGTATGGTTGCAACTGTGCCAGAGCCCAAAACACAAGGCACTGGCCCCCACAGGAGCCTCCACTGCTTTTGGCATCACTAGGGGTGGCATCACTCTAGTGTCATATTGAGGAGGGCACTAGCTTGTTTTCTACTGCTCCAGAGATCAGAACCTGGAACAATGGATGCAAGCTGCAGGAAAAGAGATTCCAGCTCAACATCAGGAAGAACTTCCTGAGAGTAAGGGCTGTTTGACAGTGGAAGACACTCCCTCCAAGATTTTGGTGGAGTCTCCTTCTTTGGAAGTCTTTAAACAGAGGCTGGATGGCCATCTGTCGGGAATGCTTTGATTGAGAGTTCCTGCATGGCAGAATGGGGTTGGACTGGATGGCCCTTAGGGTCTCTTCCAACTCTAGGATTCTATGATTCTATGATTGCCCAGTGGAATAAATAACTTATGGTGTCACTCCCCCCAATGACCTCCTCCTATGCCACCCCATGCAAAATCCTTAGTAATGTTTTTTTGTACTGATGTTACTCATAAATCATAGTTCCCATATATCACTGAATAATATCATCAGATGAATAATCCAGGATGAATCCGGGTTGAACATCTATTGTTTGCATGCGTCCCAAATGTACCTAATTAAGTTTTTGTGGGGGCTGCCAAAAACCCCACTTAACATACGATAATCAATACCGAATCTTCCCTTAATTATTTTTAAAAGTTTCACATTGTCGGTGGTGTGAATAACCATTGCGAATTGACCTGGGATCATTCCAGATTAAACTCTACATGTCTTGAACATGTTTTGGCTACATGTTTTTTGAGTGCTGGCGTGTGTGAACTCCCAGAGATGTGCATAGATATGGTTCCATAGTGTGAATAATAAACCCACAGTGTGTGAATGAGGTTATTTGCATTGTTCCACTGAAAAAAAGGACGTCTGAATGAGCTCTGAATGTAATGGTAAGAGTTATGACATATACAACTAGCAAAATTAAGATGATACCTTTAAATTTCAATATCACACACACAACATAAATGTATTTACAGGTACATCGTTTCATGTGGTTAAAGTGAAATTTTAGTAAGATGTGATTTTTTTTTCTAAAGACAATTTAAAAAGAATAGTGTTTTTTTCAAAAAAAAATTAAATTAAAAGTAAAAATAAATTGGACCCTCTCCTTTCTCCTCCCACTGAGACTCATCCCACTCACATTATTCTGCAAACTGTAGTTTTGTGATACATTCAGCTTTCTCTGTCAGAAAGCTCTGTTGCCACAACAAATTGCACTTCCCAGGATTCCATAGCATGGAGCCATGGCAGTTAAAGTGGTGTTGACCTGGATTATTTCTGCAGTGTGGATGCCATCCAACAGAGTGAAAGATGTTGTATCATAAGCTTTCGTAGGCTTGGCCTACTCCATGCATCTGAGGAAATAGACCAAGTCTACAAAAACTTATGCTACAACATCTTTCTCTCACTTTGCAGACTGTAGAAATAGTGCAAATTGAGTCCACTTTAACTGCCCTGGCTCAGTGCTATGGAATCATGGGAATTGTATTTTTTTCTGAGACATTGAGCCTTCTCTGTCAGAGAGCTCCAGTGCCACAATATACTACAGTTCCCATGATTCCCTAGCACTGAGTCAGGGCTGTAAAGTGGACTCAATTTGCATTGTTTCTGGCAGTCTGCAAAGGCCCTTAGTCTGCTGCTACAAGATCCTTTTGCATCTATAAAATCTAATGTATTTAGATTTGTCTTGTCATCTCTCAAAATCTCCTTCCTGGGTGCAGACACCTTTAATGGAAGGACAGCAAAAGCCAATGTCTGTTGGTGACATGAATTACTGTGACCCTTTAATGTGGGCTTTAAAAATTCCTCTTTTTGGACTCTAGCTCCCAGAATCCTTAAGCGAGAATGACAACCTCGAGTGACAGTAACTACAGGAAGGGCAACAGGGTGTGTGTGTCTATATTCAGCTGAATATACATAGAAATCTTGATCAGGAGCCTTGCTTTATCAGGTTAGCCAAATGGCTGGTGGATTTCTTGGTGTATTCAGGAGAACATGTGCAGAAGTCACCTTCACACCTTTTTCGCTGAGTGCAACAGAAAAATAGCACAGGAGATGATGTTGGAAAGGATGAGCAGTCCTAACCCACTGTGCCATTTGCTATTGTTGTTGTTGTCTGCCTTCAAGTCTTTTCCAATATATGGCAGCCCTAAGATGAATCTTTCATGGGATTTTCTTCCCCAGTTTCTCCAGGGGGGATTGCCATTGCCATCTTCTGAGGCTGAGAGCGTGTGAGTTGCCGAAGGTCACCCAGTGGGTTTCATGGCTGAGCGGGGATTCAAACCCTGCGCTCCAGTCATAGTGCTCAATGCTCAAACCACTGCACCACGTTGGATCCCATTTGCTACTGTGCCAAAGATTAAATCTTTGTATTTATCCAGGAAAAAAATACAGATGTGTCAATGTACAACCTCTTGTGAAGAAATTTGCCAAGAAAACCCTGTGATAGGTTCACCTGAGGCTCGCCATAAGTTGGTAACAAATTCAAGGCACACAACAAAACCGAAACAAATATGCACTGGATGGAGTATAAGACATGCTATATGTTGTTGTTGCTACTGCTGCTTTAAGTTTTATATAAATCGGTGTAAACTTTTGTAATTGTGTTTGCAATAGTTATTTATTTGTTGCCGTATAGAACCTGTGATCATGGAGTGGGGAATGTACTCCAGGGGTTAATCTGACCCTTTTCCATCCCTACGGTTCCTTTCGTGGCCCCATCACTTGATGGATCAGGAACGCTGTAGGAGACTACCAGGGCATTGTGTTGTGTCTGTGTCTTTTGTGTCTTTTTTTTAGATTATGTTTTTAAATTGTGTTTTAATTGTTATGATATTTAATTCTGTTTTAAGGGGGGGAAGGGTTGGTACAGGGACATTTTGTACTGTTTTAATTGTAAGCCGCTTAGATTGATTTATCATATAAGCGGGATATAAATATTATTATTATTATTATTATTATTATTATTATTATTATTATTATTATTATTAAAGGAGCCATCGAAGGTACTGAAAATAGTTCGAGGGTAGAGATCAGCACCTTGGATAGGGGATCTGTGCAATTAAATGCACAACTGAAGAAACCAGTATAAAAATGGCGTACATTTCAGCACAGGAGGCAGATGCAAAACCTCTCAACCTGGTAGGAACCAAGAGGGGGAAGGAAAAGGAAGGTGGGCTTTGGAGAAAGATGACACAATTGAGGCAGATTCTAATTCATCTCTCCAGCCAGGGTGTTGGCCCAGCAGAAGGCATTGCGTTTGGCCTTTCCGCCGCCGCCTGGATGGCTGTTGCTTCAAAAGATGCTGATGTTAGCAGGGATGGGAGAATGCAGCGAAGGCGACTGCCCAGAATACAGAACAGTCCGTATGAAGGAGATGCTAAGCAGGAGGTCATGCAGGCCTGTCTGTTGCATTGCATCTTTGTCTTCCTTTCATCTTCCTCTCCCCTCTTTTTTTCCCCTCTTTCTTTC